CTGCAGTCTGCAGGCGGAAAATTCCTCTCCCACCTTCCGAGTACGAACCAAAGCGACCCCCGCCCCAGGGCATTTCCCCCGGGAAATCGTCGGCCTACCAGCTCTGCAATCGGCCGCGCAGAATTCAAGTTCGGATTCGGCTCTGACGGCCTGCCACGGAGACAGGGAATAGGAGTGGGACACGCACAGCCACACACTCCTCTCCAGAAGAGATGAGGAGATGCAAAGGGGGATCAAGGCAGACAGCTTGCGTTCCTCCCCCCCCCGCCCCCACCCCCGACAACGCCCCCCTTCTCAATCTAGGCAAATCCTACCCATTAGGCAGCATCCAGGGGCACCCCACTTCCTCCCTGAGCGCCGCCGGGCCACGGGAGTGCTCCTGACCCTCGCAGTCCTCGATTCCCCAAGCGGGGAGCCGCCCAGGACTGGTGGGGCTTCCCCTCCTCTCTCGGCGCCGGGCCGATCGCGCCCCCTTTCTTTACCTGCGCTCGGGCCTTGCCCGCGGTGGACGCCGCCTTCCGGTCTCCGCGGCCCTGCAGGGGAGAAGGGACGGGCACGGCCTCGGCCGCCCAGCGACCGGGAGCTGCCCGCGGAGCGGCTCCGCACGGCCTCCCAGCGAGGGGTAGCCGAGTCCAGACAGCGCGGTTCCCACGGCAGCCGCCGCGGCTTTTATCCTCTGCCCACTGAGACAAAAGAGCGTGACGAGAGGGCCGGCGCGGCCAATCAGCGGGGCGCGGGGGCGGGCTCCCGCGCGGTCTCCAGCCGGATGCAAATGCACGCCCGCGGAGGCGGCGGCGGCGGCGGGCGGGGGGTGCCGGGGAGGGGGGAGCGTGACGTGGGCCGCCGATCCGCCGGGTGTCAAGCGCAGCTGCATTGCCTCGACTGGAAGAGTTCGCGACTCTTCCCTTCTCCTTCTCTCTCCCTCGGCTCAGCTCCGCGCCTCGGGGCCGGGTGCATTAAACACGGGATGGAAATCAAATCGACGAGAAAAGTAGTTCACCTTTGTATGGGGCGGGGGGAGGGAGAGAAGAGCATTAGCGCTTTCTGGGTGCAAACCCGCTCGCCCAATTCTTTTACTGTGAAGAAGGTGGTAGTGTGTCTATTGAACAGTGAAGGTCCTCGGGCATCCAGGCGCTTAACCAGTACTCACCGAAGGATGGGTGCAAGGCTGGCTGCATGAGAATCATTTTGGGGCGCTTGTTAGATAGGCAGACTCCTGGGCCCCGAATCGGGGGGGGGGATTCTCATGGCCTAGGACTAGAGCTGGGCGTGGTTTTGCGCCTCGTATTTTTAACCAGCGCTGCAGTTAATTCTGAGAGGATGCAGGGAGGGATGGTGAATGAGTAAATGGACCTGCCCTCAATGTATCTGTTCATAGCATTATCTGTGGTGAAACGCAGCTCGGGAGCAGATGCCCCTATCTGGGGGATCCGTGGTCTTGCTGAAATTGTATGCAAAGATTCTGGAGTCTGTAGGAAACTGAATCACGGCCACCCAAATAAACCAAGTCCTCATCCCTGGAACCTGTAAATGGTACCTTGTAAAGTGAAAGAGTCTTTGCACTGGTGGTTAGATTAAGGATCTTGAGGTGGGGAGATTGTCCTGGAGTATCTGGGTGGGCCCTAAATGCAATCACATGCGCTCCCGAGAGAGAAGAAGAGGGAGAGCTGACGCACGCTGAAGAGGAGACGGTGACATGAAGACAGAGGCAGGGAGTGGAGTGGTGTGGCCACAAGCCCAGGAATGCTGGCAACGACCAGAAACGGAGAGGCCAAGTTGGGAGCACTGCCCTGCCCACTCCTTGCATTCGCCTGAAGAAACTGATGTTGAACTTCCGGTCTCCAGGACTATGAGAGTATAAATTTTTCTTGTTTTAAGCCGCTGAGTTTGTGGTAATTTGTTATGGCAGCTGAATCCACAGCTTTGTCGATTTTCAGAGGGGCCTGTGGTCCAGTAATGGTTAAAAACCCTCTCTTCCAATCTTTCTTCATTAGTATCTTTCTCCTTCGTTTTGTACTGCAGGAAGAAGTGTGAGGAATAACACACCCTTCGACCAGACCCCCGAACTGCAGCTCTCTGCCGGTGATACAGTTCTTCCGTTTCTCACCTTGAGGACAGGGTTCTAGGTTGCCCTTCTGTGAGCTCCTGAGTGGACCTCTCCTTTGCTGGATTTGGCATCCCTGGCCTCAGAGAAGGAGCCACCCCATGAAGGATGAATGGGGCAGAAGCTAGGGGCTCCATGTACTAGCCCGCTAGGGCTGCCATAACAAAGTGCCACAGATTGGGTGGCTAAAACCTCAGACATGGATGTTCCCACAGTTCTGGAAGCTAGCCGTCCAGGTCGAGGTGCCCACGGGATTGGGTTCTCCTGAGGTCTCTCTCCTGGGCTTGCAGAGAGTTACAGTCTCGCTGCCTCTCCACAGGGTCGATGCTCTGTGTGCCTGCTCTGATGTTCAAATTTCCCCTTCTAAGATTTTATTTATTTATTTATTTATTTATTTATTTATTTATTTGAGAGAGGAAGAGTGAGTGAGTGAGAGGGAGAGAGAACCTCAAGCAGACTCCGCGCTGAGCACAGAGCCTGACGTGGGGCTCGATCTCACAACCCTGACATCACGACCGGAGCCGAAACCAAGAGTCGGACGCTCAACTGACTGAGCCACCCAGGCGTCCCTCCAATTTCCTCTTCTTATAAGGACCCCAGTCATATTCGACTAGGATCCACTCTCACAGCTTCATTTTGACTCAATCACTTCTTTTCAGGGCCCATCTCCAAATACAGTTACATTCTGAGGTACTGGAGGCTAGGGCCCCTACACACGTACTTTGGAGGGACACAATTCAGCCCATCACGCTCTATTTTCCCTTACTTCTGGTTCTGGGAAAGCGTGTCTCGTTTCCCTAATGTACGGTGTAGCCAGGAGGTCCCTGTGGGACTTTCGGGGCTCAGGGTGGTGGCAGCATGCACTGTCCAAGTGGACCACCCAAGTTCAAGGTTGTTGCTGTGTTGCTTGTTCTTGACTGGTGATGCTTGGAAGTAAGTGAGCAACTGGATGCCCTTCAGCTCCTGTTGGATTCTTCTTTAGCCTGTCGAGATACTTCGCCTGCTCCTTCCTGCTTTCTTATTTCCAACCCTACTACTTAGAATCCCTTGGAGTATACGATCCAAATCTGGAGGCGAAGCCCCTTCCATCTCAGGATTGTGGCCTGTCTCTTGTGGATGGAACAGTGTAGGGTGGGGAGGGTGGTAGAAGTAGGGAGAAGGCAGGCCGGCCACCTTGCAGAGTCAGGGGTGAGCTGGCAGTGGCTTATGGGTTAACTTCGGACTGTTCCTTTGGCTCCCCAGCACTAGGACATCTGACCCTGGCCTCTAAGCAGATTCTTTTTCTGGATTTGAACGGTTTCATCACCACGTCAGGTCATTTGCAGCTGGACCTGGTGGGTGGCATCCAAGAAGACAAAGACGAGACCTCAGAGCTCTGGCAGAAATGTTGAAAGGAAACAGAGGGTGTATCAAGTGTCCAGGTTGGGTCATTAGAACAAAGAGAGGGTCTTTCCACACGGGGCTAGGAGGAGCATTTGCTAAGCCAGTTCCGGTCGGTTACTGAGCATCCCTTATCTCTGGCTTCCTGTTTTGGGGGTGTCCGGGGACACTTCCAATCACAACGATTCAGGCTCTGATGGCTCTAAGGAGGCCACATTTTGTTTTCCAGTTGCAAAACATAAACTTTAAAAAACCTGATGATTACGAGCTAAAACTTTCAGTCGAATCAGTAATAGCTACCTTTGGTTGCCTCGCTCCTCTTTGTCAGGAATTTTCCATCCATTATGTCCCTTCAGCATCTCCAGCAGTCCTGTTGCGACATTGTTCTCCCACCAAAGTAGCTAAGGGCTTGCAGACACTTCACACCGGAACTCTGGCTCATGGGAAGTCAGAGCCGAGTGGCGATGTTTATGAAAGACCCTCCCCAGACTAAGCTGGGACCCCGTGGGCGGCATCTCTCATGAAAATATTCCACGAGATGGTGAAAAAAAGCTATTTTTAGACAAACAAAAACTAAGAGAGTTTGTCACTGGCAGACTGCACTAATGGAAATTCTAAAGGATGTACTTCAGGAGGAAAATTATCTTAGAAGAAGGAGATGCAGGACGGAATGAAGAGCAAG